GCATCCTTATTTTTCGTTTTCAACCCTATTTCTACAAATATTACAATACCGTTTCTCTGTTGAAACCCCTCCTCTTGATTTATTTTCTACTTGGTGGCCATGTTTGACCTCAAAGTACTGATGGACCATATAAAAGACTACACTTAATTAATTATTTATCATTTTGCGTTAGACACCATTACAAAATGTTTGAATGATAAACTATTTTGTGTAACGGGTTAAAGAAAGATCTTTCTTGCGGTTTTTCTCAATTAGCTGTCGTATGGCTTTAAATCTATATACTTTAAATCTATATACTTTAAATTAATTTCAATGTGTGTTACCTATGATTACGTAGCAACTGCTATTATGAAGTCGACAAATCTGACACTAATCTGCATTTGTAAGAAACAATTTGTCAAAATACAAGCCCGAAGTTTGAGATGCTAAACGTATATAATAAAGGCAGTACTGGGATTGTCTGGTTGGCAGAGACAGGTGGATGCTAGTCAGACCCGGAGCTAATTCAAAGTGACATGTGGATGATAGTCAGACCCGGAGCTAATTCAAAGGGACAGGTGGATGCTAGTCAGACCCGGAGCTAATTCAAAGTGACAGGTGGATGGTAATCAGACCCGGAGCTAATTCAAAGTGACATGTGGATGCTAGTCAGATCCGGAGCTAATTCAAAGTGACAGGTTGATGCTAGTCAGACCCGGAGCTAAATCAAAGTGACAGGTGGATGCTGGACAGACCCGGAGCTGATTCAAAGTGACATGTGGATGATAGTCAGACCCGGAGCTAATTTAAAGGGACAGGTGGATGCTAGTCAGGCCCGGAGCTAATTCAAAGTGACAGATGGATGCTAGTCAGCCCCGGAGCTAATTCAAAGTGACATGTGTATGCTAGTCAGACCCGGAGCTAATTCAAAGTGACAGGTGGATGCTAGTCAGACCCGGAGCTAATTTAAAGGGACAGGTGGATGCTAGTCAGATCCGGAGCTAATTCAAAGTGACAGGAGGATGCTAGTCAGACCCGGAGCTAATTCCAAGAGACAGGTGGATGCTAGTCATACCCGGAGCTAATTCAAAGACACAGGTGGATTCTAGTCAGATCCGGAGCTAATTCAACGGGACAGGTGGATGCTAGTAAGACCCGGAGCTAATTCAAAGTGACAGGTCGATGCTAGTCAGACCCGGAGCTAATTCAAATTGACAGGTGGATGCTAGTCAGACCCGGAGCTCATTCAAAGTGACAGGTGGATGCTAGTCAGCCCCGGAGCTAATTCAAAGTGACATGTGGATGCTAGTAAGACCCGGAGCTAATTCAAAGGGACAGGGGGATGCTAGTCAGACCCGGAGCTAATTCAAAGGGACATGTGGATGCTAGTCAGACCCGGAGCTAATTTAAAGGGACAGGTGGATGCTAGTCAGATCCGGAGCTAATTCAAAGGGACAGGGGGATGCTAGTCAGACCCGGAGCTAATTCAAAGAGACATGTGGATGCTAGTCAGACCCGGAGCTAATTTAAAGGGACAGGTGGATGCTAGTCAGATCTGGAGCTAATTCAAAGTGACAGGTGGATGCGAGTCAGATCCGGAGCTAATTCAAAGTGACAGTTGGATGCTAGTCAGACCCGGAGCTAATTCAAAGAGACATGTGGATGCTAGTCAGACCCGGAGCTAATTTAAAGGGACAGGTGGATGCTAGTCAGATCCGGAGCTAATTCAAAGGGACAGGTGGATGCTAGTCATACCAGGAGCTAATTCAAAGTGACAGGTGGATGCTGGTCATACCCGGAGCTAATTCAAAGTCACAGGTGGATTCTAGTCAGATCCGGAGCTAATTCAAAGTGACAGGTAGATGCTAGTCAGACCCGGAGCTAATTCAAAGAGACATGTGGATGCTAGTCAGACCCGGAGCTAATTTAAAGTGACAGGTGGATGCTAGTCAGACCCGTAGCTAATTCAAAGTGACAGGTGGATGCTAGTCCGACCCGGAGCTAATTCAAAGTGACAGGTGGATTCTAGTCAGATCCGGAGCTAATTCAACGGGACAGGTGGATGCTAGTAAGACCCGGAGCTAATTCAAAGGGACAGGGGGATGCTAGTCAGACCCGGAGCTAATTCAAAGTTACAGGTGGATGCTAGTCAGACCCGGAGCTCATTCAAAGTGACAGGTGGATGCTAGTCAGCCCCGGAGCTAATTCAAAGTGACAGGTGGATGCTAGGCAGACCCGGAGCTAATCCAAAGTGACATGTGGATGCTAGTCAGACCCGGAGCTAATTTAAAGTGACAGGTGGATGCTAGTCAGACCCGGGGCTAATTCAAAGTGACAGGCGGATGCTAGTCAGACCCGGAGCTAATTCAAAGTTACAGGTGGATGCTAGTCAGACCCGGAGCTAATCCAAAGTGACATGTGGATGCTAGTCAGACCCGGAGCTAATTAAAAGTGACAGGTGGATGCTAGTCAGACCCGCAGCTAATTCAAAGTGACAGGTGGATGCTAGTAAGACCCGGAGCTAATTCAAAGTGACAGGAGGATGCTAGTCAGACCCGGAGCTAATTCAAAGTGACAGGTGGATGCTAGTCATACCCGGAGCTAATTCAAAGTCACAGGTGGATTCTAGTCAGATCCGGAGCTAATTCAAAGTGACAGGTGGATGCTAGTCAGACCCGGAGCTAATCCAAAGTGACATGTCGATGCTAGTCAGACCCGGAGCTTATTCACAGGTCGCTGTACCTCAAATGTGAGTCGACCCGGGAGTAGCCAGATAAAAAGTCATATTGGCACACAATTCAGGAACCAGACTCTCATTAAATATCTCCGAAATATAAGCCAGTCTTGTGTCACGATACCTTCACGTATTATTCAGATAAACTGTTACCTTTTGTGAATTGAACTTACGGGGCAACAACGTTATTCCAACTTATGCGGTTTCCCAAAAACAAATATAAAACAAATCCGCAACAAATCTCTTCAGGAGTACTTAGATATTGAATGCTGCATAATAACAAATCAGTTTCTGTCTGTTCATAGATACCACACATCCTCCTGAAATTCATCCTTAAAACAATAGTTTGTCTACAGTGTGACAATATAAATTATTTGGAGACTTTTCTAATTAACCTTATTTGCAGGATACGCGTTGACCATTAAACTAATGAACTGAGAAGTTCTCACTATCCCAGAACATACAATTGTATGTTTTGAAAAGTTTCCATGTAAATATTTCCTTTACTCCTATTTTGTCCTAGTTTTATCGACTTTGTGTTCGGATAACGGATTTGATGACTGTTCAGTATCCTTTGTTCTGCGCTCTGTCTCTGTCTCTGTTTGTGTCTCTGTCTCTGTGTGTGTCTCTGTCTCTGTCTCTGTCTCTGTGTGTGTCTCTGTCTCTGTCTCTGTCTCTGTGTGTGTCTCTGTCTCTGTGTGTGTCTCTGTCTCTGTGTCTGTCTCTGTGTCTGTCTCTGTCTCTGTCTCTGTCTCTATTTTGGTGCTCTGGTGTAGCCAAAGTTCCTGTTATTGTTGTTTATACACCCCTTTGTATTCAACTTAAACAATATGTGAATCGTAAATTAAAACAAAGTATAGCTAATAATTTTTACAGAGTGGTCATTTGGAATAAATTACCTATGTTATAGTATATTGAAGAGGGTTCTCATGCTGTGTAATAACAGTATGAATGTCATTTCCTCTACCGCAAAGTGCGCTACAAATTTTCAGATTAAATATTTTCTGTTTTTGTAAACAACGCTAGAAATACTTTTATGTTTCTATCAGTGATTTGTAGGGGTATATACTGTTAATGTTTAGTAGAGTTCGGATGTCATGTTCTTGGGAGTGAAACGAGCAATGATCCTACTGCCAGGCTTATCGTCACTTTGAACTGGAAACAAAACACAGGGAAATCTGTTCATTATCGCTCCTCTGGTTTATACAACGGTGCAGGGTGCCATACGCCGTTTTGGTAACGGGTTGCGTGAGTCTTTAGGAATACAATTTCCCATTGTTAAGTCCCCTTATAATTATATGGTAGTATTACAGCAGCCCAGTCCCAGTGGTTGTGTGTTTCTGATGTACAGAGCCAGAGTAGCATCGGATCTCTGCTGTTCCCGGCTGCCGTGATAAGCCGTATGCTGTGCCCGGCTGTCCTGTCGTGACAACCTATATGCCCACACAATCTCAGTACCTGGAGGCAATTTCGCAAGTGTGATAGTTTTGCATGTTTGTCTGATAGATTTCGAGTGTCTCATCACCAATATTTCTTGTGTAAACTTACAGCGTCTGGTTTTATTGCCATCCACGTTTGTGCCTAATTTGCTTTGGAGACAAATAAATACAATATGGCATTCCGTTATACTCACCTTAATGCGACGTGTGCAAGGTCGTGTCGGGTCCGCGCACCATTGTATAGCCCTGCGACGATATCATTAGTAAACGCCCAATAGCATAGCTCTATGTAACATTTGTTTGATATGCACATTTAAATGAAAAAACAAAACACAGTTTATCGTCATCCGTTTTTGGAATAATTGATTAAAAGAAAAATGAGATAGTTGCCACAGCGTCACAACCAAAGGACAATATAGGACATACAGTCTAGGTAAGAAAACAATACAGAAGCGGGAAGACAACCACACATCGTCTAAGTAAATTGACTAACCTCTCTCCCTCCCTCCTTTTATCATTAACTGAAGAGATTCTTACAAAAATGTTCAACGTCTGGCGGTTCCATGGTTCTGATTTTGTTTAAAATATTGAAAAATTTGTCTAAATGAGCGATGATGGATGAGGTGAACGTGATTAACTGGTATTAGTGGTGCCCTATAATGTCTGAGAACAGATCGACGATAAATAAATTGAGTCTGGAATATCATGATTCGTTGGGGAGTATTTACCATGTGCCACAAAAAGAGCCGTAACCGTAGGCTACTTAACAGTTCATTTAGACAAAGGTGGTGTTGTTAGACGCTTTATCAACTAAATATATGTCTGGTAATATATAACAGGATAATATGCAAAGAGAAAAAATACTTTATTTCAACAGATATGAAATGATAATCGGACACTTGTTCACACAGAAACCTATGATAAAAGGAGACACAACCAACACGCACACATACTAACATCTGTGATACAGTGTCAAGATTGTCACAAGCGTGAGAGGTTGACGGCCTGATGATTGTAGCAGTAAAAAGACTAGAAAGGTGATGAACAACATTCCATCCTAATCAAGGTATCTCACACGTAGTCTATGGTAAGGCGCGAGAGGAGGACACAATGTCCACCGAAGGAGTGCTGCCGTAGGGTAGTGTAATGTACAGACGCAATAAGGAGACGTTCACTGTAATGTTAGCCAATTTCACAGGAGACATTCACTGTAATGTTAGCCAATGTCACAGGAGACATTCACTGTATTGTTAGCCAATGTCACAGGAGACATTCACTGTAATGTTAGCCAATTTCACAGGAGACATCCACTGTAATGTTAGCAAATTTCACGTCACACAAATGCACTCTAAAATTAATCCATCATGTGTGCTATTTTTTTCGTAAAATTGTACTGTTTTACTCTCAGGTTTATCAATATCAGAATATATATATATTCCATTTCTCTCATCGATTCAAACATATTCACGTCACTTTTAACAAAAATGCATTTGATATTAACCAGGTGTAGAAGCGACAATAACACCATGAGGAGTATCTGGAACGGAAACCGATCATCAAACATCAGCATCAACACCAAAACCAGCACCGGAAGCAGTAAATATACTATCAGGGGAGAACATGTCTTGATTACTCTGATGTCTGCATAGGCCTCATGGTTGCCGGAGCGGACCTTTGGGGATCACTGGTTATGTGTTATGTGGGAATAACTGAATTCATTTATCAGAAACAGGACAACATTCAATTTGGTGATAGTTTCTGTCATCATTTCCGGAAAGATTTTAAGATCGAAAATGTAACGACTGAGAGCTTACTAAAACGAGATTGGAAGGTAACTATTAGGTGTCTAGTAAATGTACTAGGGGGCACGTCTATCAGTTAGTCTTACATTGAACAACAGACAGACTCAGCATGGGCAGTGAGATGTCTCATTCGTTTTGTGTTAATTGTGTTGCGTGCAACGGAAGTAAGAGAAAGTAACTCTAGGTCACTTTCGCTTGTCGTATACAGACGGTTCGTCCTGGCTGTTACCACTGGGCCACCTGGCGTTAGTCCTGGCGATCGATTGCTGATAGCTGTAAACTTGCTTTTCCAAAGCGTAGTTTTCCGCCTGTAACGCCAGAATTTCTCGCCTGAAAATATACCATAAAATAAATGGTAACAGTTCCATTGGTGTGTATGATGATAACTGATTTAAGTACGTGTGTTTTAATTTGAACAAGCATTAAAAAGAACATTAGTAAGCTTTGACCAGACACACTTATAGTTGTGTTCGTTCGATTGTAAATTGTTCTGTATAGACGGTAATACAACCACCTGCTCCTTTCCTGACTAATACACTCAACGTCACGTGCCTTGTTATGAACAAAAGGGTGTATACACGCACGACACCGTTTAATGACAGTCGCCTGATTAGAAAGTTGATTCATTTGCATTGATCAATACCAAAGTTGTACCGGTCCAGGCAGAACCTATACGAGTTACATCTAAATAGATTTTATTTTGTTATTGGTGTGGTACCATTCTATTTATCAATGGCAAACGTCTATCTATGGCAAACGTCTACAATGTTTCATTTCATGTCAAAACAGAAAGTATCATATTATCTTCAATAACAAAGGACATTATTCGAACCCATGGTCGAAACAAACGACAAAGAGAAACTGAGAATAACAAAGCAACACAAGAAACCTTGTTTTCCCGAAGAGTAAGCGTAACCGTTACCACCCGGGACTCCAATGATATATTACGTCATCAGCTATACAAAGCACAGAACACATAGTGCTGCCGTCAATCGGGAGGTTGTAATCCATTCACTGTAATAGTAACTAAACGGGCATAGTGATTGACAAACTTACACTCAATAACAGTATGACATATTAAATCATTTTCAGTTATAAACAAATTGAGGTGTTCTTTTTTATAGAAACGTTGAAGGATACGACGGACTAATAAAAATACTATCATGAAATGATTGTTACATTTTCTTTAACTCATAAATTTAAATATATTCAAAGAAATGGGGATAGGAGATTTGTCAGGAAAGACCGAATCGTCGATCCTGACAGGTTTACGAGACGGTTTCAGAGCTGTACCAGTTAAACTGTCAGGACGCATGGCGCAGAGGTCAAGGTCACCATTCAGATCACTTCAAGGACGAACTCAAGTCAATTATCACATGGATTATATATTAGTGCGATGCCAATAATACGTGTTTATCATCGGACCCAGACAAGGCCAGCTCACAGGATTGGTTTACTTCATAATCACTGGACTATTAAAGTTAATGTGTCTTTCTTCATAAGTTGACTGAAAGACTTTTAGGCTCTATTACGTCAGAGTAATTACTGTGTACACTCATTCGTATTTATTGGAGATGGACGAATTTCCAACACTTAACTTCATATTCACTCAAGCCTTGACCTCAATCCATTTACTTCATCTGTCGCCGTGTAGATGATGTTCACACTCTCCATTCTGACTTATTGGTTAGGAGTGGATGTGACATTGGGTCAGGGAAGTACTCGGTCGACCAAATCCAACCAGCATTAATTTCGGTGCTTGGATTATCAACACAATACAGCCTGTTTCTGACACATATTCATGTACGACTCCAGACACCTGCTTCCATGTGTGACAGTCTCATTGACAATACTAAAATCATTATTCCCAATAGTCACTATAGTTGCACATCTTTTTGTAATTATGATTTATGTTGTTTGCTTTTATGTTTTGGTGTCGCACTGTTTTCCTGTTTTCTTTTATCGGTAAAATTTATGTTTAAAATATTGTCCTGTTATGTTGACGTCGTGGTATTTATAATTATCCCCCGCTTTCACCCTAATGGGGGATATTAATTTGGGTTTGTCCGTCTGTCTGTCTGTCTGTCTGTCACACTTCGTTTCCGTGCAATAATTACAACAAATATTAACCGATTTTCTTTAAACTTGGTCACATGATTCAATGCCTTAAGGGCTCGGCCAAGTTCATTAACTCTCGCAAATATTATCCGATTGTCTTCAAACTTAGTAACAGGTTTCAACTCATTAAGAGCTCCGCCAAGTTTACTTTAATAGGAATCCATTTGGCAGAGTTATGACCCTTTGATTAATGAAAAACATAATTTTCTGCAGTTTCGGCTTAATAACTCTAGCAAATATTAGCTAAATTCATTCAAACTTGATAACGATGTTAGTGTTCCTCTGTCTTGCCACCCATCTCGGGCACTCTTTGGTTTTCTTGTGATAATTGCTGTAGATATTATTCAGATGTTTCAACCAAATTCCGTATGCACATCCGACTCATGCTTAGTTTGCTAACCGATGTGATTTGTGCATATTTACAGATAATCAATGAGGTATAGGGTTTCAAGCTATACATTATGTCTCAACAGCACGATACTCAAATGTTTACACCTAACCTCAATAATGTTAACCTAAAATATGTCCTGCAAGCGGGGGATATAAATTCCACGAATTTGCTTGTTTTATTTTTAACTCAGAATGAGAGAATAAAGCAAGCGTTAAATGAAGGTCAATATTTTTGGGTATTTGAAAGTTGGCAAGGTAACAAAATGCGAGTTCGTTCTGACTAACTACACGTAATGAGATACAGATCAATATGCACGTCTCAATTAGATTGTTTACCAATTCTTGTTCGGACTTCTTTAGGGAGTTTGGTTGTAAACAGACTATACATGATTTCATCACTTAGGGTTTGTATAATTTAGGGCTAATATAACCATCGAGACATCCTCATTAACGATGTTACTAGCGATATAAATCACCAGGGATAAAACTATTCTCAATTGCATACGCGTTGGATGAAACACAACGTGTAACATACCACATGGCTTTTAATAGCAATACAGCAGCTGATAAAATTCAATGACTTAATAATAATAATCAGATTGTAAATTTAACTTTAATTTATTGATTTCTCATTTTTGATGTAGAGAGAGTCTAAATTGTTAACACAGACGAGCAAAAATGTTCCTCAGGAAGCGACAAGACAAAACTGACAGCATGCATCCTTACGATAAATCGAAAAGTTAAGGGAAATGTAAACGTTCTTTATATTAACTACATGTAAAGAAAAGAATGGTAGAATTTGCTAACGTTGCAAGTGGTCGTACTGGAAATGTTGTAGGTGGCACACGACCTATGGAGTGTGAGGTTGGTGTATTGCATGACAACACGAAGGGACCCGAGCCCAGTGCAAATCAACTGAATTACAACTATGAAACGTTTCATGTAAAAATTGCCTGGTTCTCTTCAACAGGTCTTGTAAGTAAACGAGTATTTTGCTTTGTGTTCATACCACGAACATGTGCTTAGTAGCGTCACCTAGGTCTCTGCTGTCGGCAGCCACGAACATGTGCTTAGAAGCGTCACCTAGGTCTGCTGTCGGCAGCCACTAACATGTGCTTAGTAGCGTCACTTAGGGCTGCTGTCGGCAGCCACGAACATGTGCTTAGTAGCGTCACCTAGGTCTGCTGTCGGCAGCCACGAACATGTGCTTAGTAGCGTCACTTAGGTCTGCTGTCGGCAGCAACGAACATTTGCTTAGTAGCGTCACCTAGGTCTGATGTCGGCAGACACGAACATGTGCTTAGTAGCGTCATTTAGGTCTGCTGTCGGCAGCCACGAACATGCGCTTAGTAGCATCACCTAGGTCTGCTGTCGGCAGCCACGAACATTTGCTTAGCAGCGTCACCTAGGTCTGATGTCGGCAGCCACACAGATGTGCTAAGTAGCGTCAACTAGGTCTGATGTCGGCAGCCACGAACATGTGCTTAGTAGCGTCACCTAGGTCGGCTGTCGGCAGCCACGAACATGTGTTTAGAAGCGTCACCCAGGTCTGATGTCGGCAACCACGAACATGTGCTTAGTAGCGTCACCTAGGTCTGATGTCGGCAGCCACGAACATGTGCTTAGTAGCGTCACTTAGGTCTGCTGTCTACCTTTCAAGAAGCCATATTACCAAATTCTACAGGCGGACGAGTTTTCAATGAACAGTTAATATTTGTATCTGAAGACATGCCTCTGTAGAGGCAACTCGGTACGGAGATGAGCCTCACTGTCAGTTAAGTCTAGAAGAGTCGCCGCCTGTCCAATAAACATCTAAAACTACTCGGATTAATACCCGAGAATTATGGCTACAAATAACGCACAAAACTATTACAAAATTGGAATCTAGAAACTACGAACTATTTCAATTTAAACAAATTTTATTGATAATCATGATCAGTTGGATTGAACATCAGACTTAAGCCTATTTTAAGTTCCTTCCATATTATTTTATTCAAATAATATCCGGTAGAAATGGAAATTAAGTAATTTTGACTTATTATACTTTTTTGCAATTTGATTTTAAATTTTATAAAAGTTTAATACATGCTGATATATACAAATGCATCTGAGGGATAAGTGCCGAATCAACCCCCAAGTTTCTGACTGTAAAGTCCATGGGTTCTTCACGCTATAGTCTTCCACTCAGAAATTGATTGCACACATTTCTACCACAATACGCTGTGTTATTCCACTCTCAGATCATTGTATAAACACGCAAACTGTTAGATAAATATGAGTTATATACCACACTAGGTATATGACCTTCAAAAGTTTTGATTGGTCGAGAAGATGAACTTTGACCGGAACGACTTTTTCCACGCGCTTTTTGCCACATGCTGTTTTGTTTACGTCGTCTGCTGTCAACATCCAACACATGTTGGTGACTTTGTGAGGTTATGCGGAAAAGGGGGTTATTAAGGCAATATTAAAAGAAGGTAATACTTAAAGATTTGATCGTTAGTTTCAGGCAAAATTGCTACAGACGCTCGATATCGTTTCGACGTCACACCGTCGCGTGTCCAGGTCGTGAAACCAAAACAAGATCTGTCACAGTGTCTGAAAATATTCCGTTCCCCCAACGTCTCGTTATCGCTATTTGGACGGCCTGACTATGGCTGAACTTTCACAATAAACGTCAACCATAGAACCGTCACGAAGAAACGTAGGCCTATGGTTTTGGACATTGACAGCGATACGTTCGTCTTCATCACTTGGCGGGAGCAGAGACGTATAATAATGTATTTATACGTCTCTGGCGGGAGGCAGACTTCGTACGATATGCTTACGCGCATATAGTCCGTGGTTAAGTTATATAAATTAATGCAATACTGCTACTCTCAATATTTAAAGTTGTTCATCTATTATATTTTTTTCATGAAGTTGTTGCCGAAACATTAATTTTGACAATTATTAAATTTGTAAAAGAAAGTCATTTTTGAATGAGTGACTTTTTACATATGGGTCATATCACTACGCCAGCCTTGTCAACACACACATGTGTGTATGTGGTAGAAACAGATCACACGACTCGTGGTTGTTAAGTATGGTATTTATTTCACTCTCGTTATTAATTTTCAAAAGTTACAGAAAGACACTCGCTAAAGCTCGTGTATTTTGTAACTTTTGAAAATTAACTTACTCGAGTGAAATAAATACGATATTCAGCAACCACTCGTTGTGTAACCTCTATATCTCCCAACCGCACATGTAAAAAGTGCATGCTATTTCTTCAATGTTTACGTTAGACGAAATCCGAACAATATAAAGGAAATGAGATTGTATAAGTATATCAATCAACTATGCTTCTCACAAGTCATCAGTGTTCATCAAGGTGCACAGCTCCGCAGTATATATATTATCATAGTCAATACCCGTGCATTTATACATACCAATTGACATCTACAATTACTAAAATATATCTTCAATAATGTAATCATCCATCATCCATGCATGGGCACATACCACCTTGGCATATATACTAGTCTATGTTTAAGTACAATTAGTATTGGTCATTGCACGCGCATGTACATGTACCTTATCGGCATTTACGCATGAGTAGTCCCATATGAGATTAATTAGTTGAAAAATATTACTCTGACAGCAAGGTATATCATATATAGTACAAATCCTCTCACTTGTGGTGCGTATGTAAATAACACTTGTAATATATTGTTAGTAACTTGTTGTCATACTTGACTTTCTATAAGTAGTGATGACGACCTTGACCTTGACCTTATGAAACACAAACTCCTTAGGGTCTTCTTATGCATGACCAGTATATCAAATTTAGTCAAATAATACGTAGGGATGAACTCTCTAGATTGGTGATAAGATATACATACAGTATAGGCCAATAAATAGTGGTCGTGACCTTGTCCTTGACCACAGATAGTTGAAGGTTGAGCACTTGCCAGGTATTCTCATACATGATGATTAAATATGGTAATGTCAAATCACGAACTTTCCCAGCTAGCCTAACGACATTGCGTCACGATTGCTAAGGTATGTATGAATATAACAATCATAAATGTAGAAACCAAACCACCAATGCCATACTTACATCTATGTTGGCATTATTTTATTGTTTATATTCTTTTCGTTCTACAACATAGTATTTACAATAACTGGTTTTTACGAGCCTGTTGATATAATGGAGTGTTTGCTTTGATCGATGACGTCATCAGTTTAACTTACATCATTTGGTGTTTGTGTAGTCGGGTGGCGTCGTCAAGGCTGTGGAAGTTTGGACTGATGAGGAGATGGGAGTCTATCCATTCTATATGAACAGTGAGAGTCTGGTCTTCGGAACTGAGGAAGTCACTTTCTGGGTCACTCAGCTAAAACACATACACATGTAAATATAGAACGTTGGATACCAAACAACGAAATGCATTCATAAGATATAATGCAAATTATTTCAATGAGGATTAATTTTGGGGATTACGAAATCAGTTTGTAAAAAAAAAAGCATAAAGGAGATTGATAATAATCCATAATCGACTGCGTGTCGTGTCGCTGTGTCCTTACCTATATGATTATCTATTGATTATAAATATTAGTTAATAATAATTCGATGTTCTTATATACCGCTTTATCACAACCTAGTTCGTAGGTCGTCTCAAAGCAGTTAACAAATTATTATCCGTGGTTATAGGGCCTTTGCAACCATCCAATATCTTTCTCAACTCATTGGGGAGCACACAGCCGGTGCTGCCACAGCTAGCTTTAACAATTCTAGCTCTGCTCAACCACGTACTCATTTACAGCTGAGTAGACTGGAACAAACGAAGTATCGTATCTTGCTCAAAGATACAACACAGTGCCGTGCCGCGAGTCAAACCCGCAAGCCTTCGGTCACGAGCCCGGCGCCCTACCACTAGACTACCGTGCCTCCTATTGATTAAGTATTTTGATAGAGTAAGGTTTATACATATGTATGAATATGTCTATAAAATCTGAGATAAAAAGTAGATATAGGACCGAATTCGATTAAGAAATGTATTTGGTTGGAGGCATATTGAGATGTCATACTTTCTGTAAACGTTTATTCAATTGGTCCAAAAGTAGTCACAGTTATCACTTTAATTTTTGTAGCCATGATTTAATATGTGTATAATGACAACAAGAGTAGGAAATATACAATGAAATATTGCTATTTCTAAGTTCTTTTGTGCTTACACTATTTTCATTGGTAAAACAACTCGGATGATAATAAGTTAATACCTCCATTTGTGATTGTTTAAATTCATGAGTGGATCGTTTTTTTTAAGAAATTTCTTAATATACACTTATTGCCCTGGTGTGAGGGAGATCTGTAGAGTTGTTTCTCCGAGATAAATCATGTTTCCCTCGAGCTTCGCCCATCATTGCTATGCCGATGACACACAAATTTACATGGTCATCAAACCACAGGACAGTTGGAATACAGAATCAGAAAGTCTGGAAGCTTGTCTGACAGATATCAGTATCTGGATGAACGCCAACATGTTTAAGCTTAATCAGGAAAAGACGGAACTAATCGGCTTTTCCCCAAAGTGTCTGCAAACAATGGCTCTCCAGCACAAGGTCGCTCCAGAACTATTGAGACTGTTCCAGCTGTGAAAAACCTAGGGGTATACTTTGATAGTTCTCTGAACACGGAGAACCAAGTGAACGCTATTGCCAAATCCTGTTACATTGTACTACCAGATCAGGAACATCGTCTGTATTCGGCAGTTTAAATGTATAAAAGTGATGGTACGCCTTTGTTTTTACAATTATAACCATTACTATTATCCATATGTTGTAAAGCGCTTTAGAGTAATTTTACAAATTACACAGGGCGGTATATAAATGTTGTATATTATAATTATTATATATACAGTGACCGCTTGACATTTGGTTTTGTTCTTATCCTTGTCTGGCCTTTTCTTATTCCTCTCATTACACTGTTTTCTACCCGTTTTAGGGCCCATTCCGGATATGCACATGTTCTCATTGCCCTAGCGATATGATTCTGCTCTTGTGTTTTGTCCTGTTGTTCTGTGACTATTGTATCACATCGGTTGAGCAATGTGCGTATGACGCCTAACCTCTGGTGTAAAGGATGGTGAAATTTGAAGTTCAGGTATTGGTCCGTATAGATATTTTTTTATAGACCAATACCTTCACGGTTCCGTCTTCTTTCTTAACCAGTAGAGTGTCTAGGAAGGGCATTGTGCCATAGGTTTCTTCCTCACATGTAAATTAATTTTGATGTTGTTAGTTGCATCTATAGTGTTGATATGTGTGGTCAAATATTTCTGTGACCCCTTCTTGATTATACGATTATATTGCTTCTTGAAAAACCATATGATTGACTGGGATAACTTCAAAGGGACAGAGAGAGCAATCTGTTCAAGCGGCAGAAAAAGGAAGCCATCTGGATTCGCCGCAGTGGGTCAGTTCTAAATCGAGACGAGGGGGCTCAAAGACTATCGCACATTTATGACCAAGTGTTAACAAAGCGTAGCGGAATTGAGTCATTTCGGTACATATATAACAACTATTGTACATTCGTTTCCAGCGTAGCCGAAATCGATATCGATTTTATGGACAACTCGTACACATTTTACACCTTTGTGTGCATACGCTTCATTGGTCATTTGTCTGATAAAGGTGACAGTGTACATTTCGTACTAGCCATCGAAACGTTACATAAAAATATATATTGGTTGTGTAAAAAGAACTTATCATAAGCCATTGTTGACGACCGATCATGTGTAAGGGGTTCCGAGAGGGATACTAGGAAATTGTTTCCCGTGAGGGAGAATCAATATTTTATAATCCTCTACTGTGATGTGTTTAAACCAATCAGACACGCTGTAAAATCGACGAAGAATAATAATGCTTAATGTAGCCTCAAAATGAGTTGCATTTGGCACAATACTAGGTCAAAGCCTTTGTCGGTCGCTGACTGAATCTTAGCCATTGATCCGGCCACGATAGCGAATGTTATTATAGGTGTCTATCTATACGTCCTTACTATGTGCTGCATATTTTTAGTATATTTATATTGCATCATGTAAGAGTTTCTGGAAGTAAGTAATAACCAGGTGAGCATGAACTAATCGCAGTGAGGAGTACTTATTATCATTCGAGGTTTTTTTACCAATGAAAATAGCGTAAGCCCAAAAATACTTAGGAATACCAATATTTTACTGTATATTTCCTACTCTTGTGGTCATCATTGATTTATACAAATATTAAATTATGGCTACAAAAAAAACAACTATCCTGTCATACATTTTGTTTGGTATTGTTTTGTATTGTTTAACATCCTATCAACAGCCATGGTCATTTAAGGACGGCCTCCCTTGTGCACAAGATGCATGCGTGTAGTGTATGCGTGTGTGTTTTGGTAGGCTGCAATATGTTCGTGTTTGTCTCCTTGTGATAGCGCGGAACTGATGCCGACTTTATAGTGCTACCTCACTGAAACATACTGCCGAAGACATCCCAGCAGGTCACCCTACTCGGTCACATTATACTGACAACGGGCGAACCAGTCATTATGTCATACAACAAACCCTCACATTGCCACACACTATGTCAATCAACTGCGATTTTGTACGTTATCTTATTTGAGAAAGAAATCGGACTCTAGAATGCCGGTGTATTTCTGTAGCATAAGTAATGTACCAAGTTTGCAACATTTTCTTTTTCAAATAAAAGTATTGAATATGAATATGGTAACATTCGTTTGCCTTATTTTGAAAGAAATGCGATTTCCTAAGGAGTTTAAGCACATTTTACATGTCGCTGTTTCGCATAGAGTATAAGATATCGTTGTACATATAAAAAAAAGAAATCTGGAAATCTAGGGACCATACTTATGATTGTATAAGTACCAGTCCAGTAGTTTTGACTATTTGTGAGAAAAAATAATCTAGTTTGCAAATCGTGTGACTTTTAGATAGGTTGCTTGGGATAGGTTGTACCGAGACAGGGAAGTTTGCGGTTGTAATTGTATTCATTGCGTGTCAGAAGTTACTTCCTCAATATTCTGTTGTGATTTTAGGCTTTTAAATCGATTGTGTTGCAGTCAGACAGACAACTGTATCAGAATAGAAGTGGCGTATAAGATAACCAGAGGTTGTGTAGTGTTGTTGTCTGTATAACCAGTGGCAGTGTAGTGGTGTTGTCTGTATAACCGGTGGCGGTGTATTGTTGTTGTCTGTATAACCAGTGGTGGTGTTGTGTTGTTGTCTGTATAACCAGTGACGGTGTAGTGTTGTTGTCTGTATAACCAGTGGTGGTGTAGTGTTGTTGTCTGTATAACCAGTGGCGGTATAGTGTTGTTGTCTGTATAACCAGTGGCGGTATAGTGTTGTTGTCTGTATAACCAGTG